ACTTTCTTCTAGTACCCCAAAATTGACAAAAAATCACAAACTTGCTGTAATAATTTCTACTAGAAGCCACAAAAATTTTAATCCTTTTCTAAAATTTAAATTAGCATTTTTCAAAACAAAGTTACAACTATTTAAAATTTGTCTATTTTTTGGACAATAATTTCTTAATTATTTTAAGGAGTGTATATATTAGTCTTTTTTTAAATCTTTTTATATTTTTTGTATTTTTTAAGATTGTATGTGTAAAATATATATTTAAAATTTTGTTCGAAATGAAAGATATCAAAATAAAAACATTCTGAAATTAATTGTCCCTTGCATAACTGATGCATTCAATGCAAAAATGCAATATCCCAGGTAGCACATATTCGTCTCAAAAACGTTGTACAAATGTTTCTTTGAAACGTTTAATAATCGACTTTCGAACGTTTTTAATTAATTGAAATGTCCACTCGAAAAACGTTAAGGAAAACGTTTATTTTAGAGTTTAAGGAACATTTAAAAACGGTGAAAATATCATCCTTAAACTCTAAAATAAACGTTTCCCTTATCTTTTATTCGCAAAAAGATTGCAGTAATATAGATATGTCCGCTCCTAAATCATATTGTGCAATATTTTTGCAATGATGCTGATATATTTTCTGCAACGTTAATATAACATTTATAAAATATTGCAGAATATTTCTTATTTTTTTTTTCTTCATTTATTCTTCGTTCAAGTTTTTAATAATCTGAATTCCCTGTTGGAACTGTATAAAAAATTAAACTAATAAAAATCTATCAAAAATATATATATATTAAAAGAGATTTAGTATACAATCTTATTTCAAGAATACAATTCTTTCGGATTACGTTTCTTTTTGGACCATTTTAATGGAGATTACATATAAATAAATCCGCAACGCACAATAAAACGTATAAAAAAATTTATTAATATAAAATTAACACTGAAGTCTGTCGCATTAAAAAAGCAGAGAAAGGTAAACATATATATATATAATTTCAAATACGTATCAAATGCGTATCTTAAAAGATGATATATTACAAATACAAGAAAATAAATTTTATAACACAGAAATTCTTATTTATATTAATAATATAATCTGCACATCAATTTATAAAACATTTAATCTGTAAAAAAGGTCATTTGTAAGAGTAAATATATCTTATTAATCACATTTAAAAAAATAATGCGATTAATATTTGAACGATCAATTATTTGATAACTCACATTGAATCCAAGAGAATGACACGTAGATTAAAAGTAGAACATTGCCTTTTTGAAAAATTACCTTTTCATATATTTCTCTGCTGCGGAGAAATTTTCTAATCAAACGAAATACCGCATCTCGATGGGATGATGGATGTGCGACGCATTCGATCGCACGCGAGACTATTCAACGATGCATCTTTCCGGCCGGACGGCCTCGAGACATGCCTAGCTACCTATTATCGATGCCGGCAATCGGCAACTGTCGTTTCAGGAGAAAAATAAGAATTCCCGTCGAGCTGACTGCGCGGTCGCCCTTCTCTCTCTCCCTCTTGCTGCGCGTGGCAGTCATTGTTGGCGCGTTGTGTCATCTCGCTGGGCTTGTCCAGAATGCCATTATTTCGCGGCGGGAGAGCTTCTGCAGCCGATCGTAACAATAACAATAATTGCCTGAACCAGGAAACAATAATGCTCTTCCTCGGTAACTGATTGTCGCGCAGGAAGCAATGTTGGTGACGACAACGATGATAATAATAATGATGATGATGATGATGATGATGATGATGATGATGATGATTATGGGGACCTGATCTTTGCAAGAAGTCATAAGAAAATCGTACAGTAGTGTTTTTTGATAGCACATCACATAATATCTAAAAGACATTCAAAGGACATCTTGAAGATATACTCCTCAAAATAATTAAGGAATCAAAGAAATTGTCCAAAAAGATAAGCAAATTTTAAATAGTTGTAAGTTTGTTTCGGAAAATGATAATTTAAATTTAAAAAAAAGATTTTAAAGCTTAAAATTTACTTTCGAAAGGTCATAGCTTTTTTTATTTTCTTCAATTCTAATATTTTTTACAAACAGAAAACGACAAACATAACGAAATGAAAAATTTTTCTCATTTTATAGACATGTCGCATACACAAGGTAATTTGAAAAAAAATTTTTAACATTTTCACATAAAGCCTACAGTTTTCCCTGCAAAATCATTTCTTAAAATTTAAATTTCGATCTTTCCTTATCAAGTTATCACAAATTGAAAAGAAAATGTCATTTTCATTTTGATCGTTCAAAACTCGGTTAAAAATCATCGTACAAAAATTTTATAAGAATAAATTCTTCAAGCTGAATCTTGCTCTATAGTATAATGTAATGATTGAATTTTTTTAATTCGTAAACTTTTTATAAATAGGTGAAAATAACAAAGAAATGTATGAGTTTTCTCCTTATATATATATTTATTGCTTAATTTATTAGTTTAAAATTTTAATATTACAATTATTCTAATAATGTTTCTTGTACTAAAGAATGAAGATGTAGTTTGCCGGTAAAGATGTAAAGCTCGGAAACTCTTGCAGTGAATCCATCACTGAACACTGATTACCGTGAAGCTCATTAACACGCGTTCGAGTGCGTGTAGGAAGGTGTTAGCTACGCACTGGATCATTTATCCTTATGGAACACTGATGTTTTTAGAGGAAGCAGCAGCAATTGCTACTGCATAGATGAAAATTATGAATCCAATAAGAACATGAAAGTCGTCGTCCTCGACAGCAAGTCGGAAATTATCTAACCTGTTCTTATATAAAAGTTTCTGATAATTTAATTAGCTTTTATAGATAAAATATTATATATATATATATATGCGTATTAATTTTCGTAGCATACACTTAAGTCAAATAATTAAATTAGTAAATTGTTAATAAATGACACAATATATACATATGTTGTTGTATGACAAGAAAGGAATAATTAATTTGAATTAAGGATACGAGAAAGAGCAAGTCCGAAGTTTATTCAATAAGTAAAGTAACAAACGACTGTTTTTTTAATACAGTTTATTCAATGAATAAAAATTTAAAGAAATTACCTAATTTACTATTTTCCATATAATTTCTTACAATAATTATTCACTTGTTCTATCGCTCTATTAATTTTTTATGCCAGTAGCAAATAGTTTTTCATCTCGAAATTCGGGCCAGTTTTTGACATTTCTTTTCATTTTGTTGCTGTAAAATTTAATTTTACACGTAATGATTTCTTAAGGGACAATATAAAAAGAAGCCTGATGGAATGCGAGATCTGGACTATATAAAGTGGACAGAATTTTCTGGCCTAATTTTTCATTTTTCTTTTTCTCGGTCATTTTTTAATTAGTGAACTCATTTATAACAATTTATGATTTATACAACTTTTACTATTACTTGAGCATTTGAGAGTAAATTTCAGATGATTTTATGATCTTAAAAATTCCAGAGAAATATCACTAAACACTGATCTTCAAAATAAGTACACTTTACGAGAGAACTTGTTATCATTGAAATAAGTGATAGAGGTTATGATATTAAAATAGTTGTCAAACCGTTTTAAATTTTGATATGTCAATTTATGATTTTGAAATATCTTCTTCTCATTTGAATAATTTTTGAATTATTTTTACGACTTTTTTATTTATTGAATAAGTATTATATTTTATTAATTATAAAATAATAGTTATTATTATAACTTAAAATAATTTAAAGATTATTAGTTAAAAATTAAATGTTATATGTTGATATAAAATGATTTTTTATATAAAAATAAAAGTTTAGTGATAAGATTCTCGTGTTTTTTCCAATAATTCTGATCAAAATAACTTCCTCACAAAAAAAAACGACAAGCAATTAGTTGTTATTCAAACAGCAACATTAGATTTCATAATGAGATCACGTTGCTGATTAATATCGACATTTATTTGGACACCATCAAAGTATCCATTTATCATAAACAACATATGATGTAAACACAGCATTTATTCAATGTCAGAATAGAAAGAACTGTTGACGTGTATAGTTCGATCAACATCGAATAGCTCAAGTACTATTGTGAAATGATACGATCAGCGATCGTAAAAAATTTAAACCGCTGTAGCACTTTGACTTTTATCCAAAATAGGCGAGCATTGGGGTCCTCGGTGTACGAAATAATCTTTTCTTATCTCGGAAGGACGAGCCATAAAAAAATTCCTTCTCTCTTCCTTTTCTAAACCACGTTCACATGTTACTCTTCTCTCCGTCTACGTTATCATTATTTTTACTTTAAATTCTTATGTTTATTGAAACAAACTTTTTATTCTTTCATTTCTCAAATTTCGTTACCTTTTACAATCTTTTATCAATTTTATATTTATATATTTTAGTATAGAAATATATTGTAAATTATAAATAAATCTTCATCTCCGTTTTTCTTCTTTCTCCCGCCATGCGGCAGCCCACGTACCGGTGTCGCGTGGGTGTAGGCCACGTTGTGCACACATAGAGTCAGTAAAGAAAGGGAGGGGAGAGTCTCGCGCCTCCCTCTACTTGCCGGACGGAGGAATAGAAAGGAAAAGAGCAGTAGTGTACCTACAGCTGCCAGTCGTGTAGACACGATTATGTTTCGTGTCTGGCGAACCCATTCAGTACTTCTCACGACACCGGGGGCACATGGTGCGGTCGCGATCACAAGTCGTTTCCGCGAGCAATGGGACGAAGAAGTGCAGAAGAAGATAAGCACATTGAAGAAATCGAGGAAGAACAAAGGATATATACGGCGAAAAAGTAAAGGCGGGACAAGTGCAAGAAAAATATATTAAATTGCATTCTCTGGAAAAAACATTTTTAAAATATATTCAAAAACTTGAAAAAAAATTATCTTCCACAGAGATTTAGAAAACTTATTAAACATATTATTATATTAAAATATATTGCATATATATATATATATATATTTTTTAATAAAAAACTGTGCAATAAAAAACTAAATTTAAATATATAGAAATAAGAATGTGGAAAAAAGTGCAATTGAAAAAGTAAAGAGAGAAAGAGACTGAAGAAAAAGCTTATGTGCTCTGATTGGCAACATTATTGTTTAAAAAAATTCTTTTTTAAATAAAAAAATTTTTTTGACCAACAAATATACAACGCGGAAAAATAGTGTGCATTCAAGGAAGATCGTGGGATTATCAGCCAGAAGTGCGGAAGAAGAAACTGCGTCGCGGAAACAGTATAAATACTCGTGCACTTCCGGAAGCGCGTATCTAGCAACCGCGTGACCCATGAAAAGTTCGGTTCCGTGCTAATTATGACAGCGCAATGCCGTGAACGCATTCTTGTCGATAAAGTTCCGTGTCCAATTCACGCTCTCATCTCTAGAGCTGACGCGATCATCAATAATATACTACAGCGCATATCTAAAAAAGAGACTGGAAAATAAGAAAAAAGAAGGAATACACACAAGGTCAAGGACATACAGCAAAGCAAATCTAAAACAGTGCAATCCGCATTTTGGTTGGCTTGCTTAAAGGGAATTGGAACTCATTTTTACGAAGAAGAGAAAACACAACATTTTATTCTGGTATTTCCGTAATTTGTATGAATTATTTATAGCAAAAAGAAGAATAACTCAATCTCATTGAAAGAAAATAACAAATCTATACTATATAGGGACGATGATCAGTTATCTACTTTTCCATCATGTTGAAATCTTGATTCGATTAGTAACGCGAATAATTTCAATGAATAAAACCGGATAATGAATTCAATAAAATTCAATGTAATAACTCTGGCGTGCTCTGGAGAGAAAGTATAGTATGTAATTTAATGTAACAGCTGGAAAAGTTGAATCACAGACCGCTTTCAGATATGCATACTCTTAAGTAAGAATCAGCCGAGATTTCCGGAAATCGATTTGCATTCGCTGTCGATCGAACATACAGTAATAATATGCTTGCGTCCCATTATGAACGAAAATTACAAGTATTCCGTTGAAAGATATCGTTACCGAGGCGAAGCAAAAGAAGCGCGAACATGTAAATCAGTCGCTCTTACTCACGGAAGTCCAAACCCAAGTGTTTTTCAAGCGTGGAGCAGTCGGTGCGAAGTACGCATCGCATTAATATAGTTTAGATGCGATCAAAAATTTTAATTAAATTGTTAAAATCATTCTAGTTATATACACGGAAAGTTATGTAAGTGTTAATATTACATTATCCTGAAATTTCGTCATATCTCTTTAAACGAAAAAATTTAAACGTGACATTTTTCAAAAGATATATCGATTAATCGCCATGTTTCGTGAATGAAATATGGAATTTTTTTAGATAAAGTGTTCCTTGATAATCGCGATCGAGATAAAGAACTTTACCCATTTTGTCTTCTCTCCCTCTCTTTGGGCCTAGTCATCAAATTATTATTTTGTAGATAATAATGGTAGTAATTTAAAAAATGATGTTATTTATTTGTTTAGTTGCTCATTATTAGAACTGTTCAAGGTAACAAATACGTCATTACTGTATTCAGAAGGTATCTGTATATCTTCTGAAAGATATTTCACATATCCTAGATACCAAATAATTAACATGATATGAGAACAATAATCTACGGTGTGAGCATCTCCACGAGAAGGTGCTTTAGACGCAAAAAAATTTTTAGGAAAAGATGAATACAAAAAACAAAAATTCGTGTCCAACTATAAAATCAAAAATCATTAGTTTATTGCAAACGTAAAAGCACCCTGTAAACATAGATAATAAAATGATACAATTTATACACCAACATTGATAACATTGCTCGAGTATTTTGAACATTGGCATCTATAAATTTTCAATCCTCTCATAACGCCCTACAATTTAGTATATGTCTCACTCTGAACTCGGGGAGCCCAAAAATCCCTATAAAATTTGAAGTTCTTTCAAACTGATAAAAAAATTGAGACTAAATCGAGATTTGAATCAGTGAGAGACTTGTCTCAATTTTATTACGTTATTCATATACAGCAAATTGGGTACTTTCTAACAACATATTCGGGGTGGGATTGCAGAGGAAAGGGCAGAGCCTATCAAGGAAATAACATTCTTGTTTAGTGTATAACTGTATATGACTATGTGACACCACATAGTAACTTTCCAGCAAAAAAAACATTTTTAGAGAATGTTTAAAGTCCAATAGTGTTTATAATGTTGTATCTGTGTTCCTTGTTGGAAAACTCCCTCTACAATATTATATCACACAGTGTCTCTAATAGCACAACATATCCGAAAGATATTCAGAGGACATTCGAGCATCCTCATGATGTTCTCCAAACATCTTCGGGATATGTGTGCTGTTAGGGGTATGACTATGCTGTTTCGTTGCTGGAAAGCACCTTGTATTAATTCGACGCGTTATGTCATGCACCGTTAAGAAGCAGCTTTGAAAATGGCGGGCAAACATCTGACTGTGTTATATTGTCGAGACAGATTGTGGTTACATAGCTACAAACCGCATAGCGGAGCAACAGCGAGAACGCTTCTCCACCGCGAGTTCTCATCCACTTACGCGGAATTGGATCATTCGCATAGTCCGTTGAGAATAGCAGCTATGATATTCTCGAAGGAAGTCGATCCGCTAAGTTTCACACGGAGATTGACGGTAGACGCGATCCGGCATTATACTTTGCTAACGTAATCAAAGCGCGACGTACGAACTCGAGAGAGGAATTCTGCGAGCATATAATTATTATAGAGAACGGCGATTATAAATATAACATCTCATAAAAGTTACTCTCTTAAGTATATGAAAGTTGTGTGTCTACTCTTTTCCGGGTTCACATTTGCCCAGAAATATTTCGAAATTTTTTTCTTAGCATTAAGGTGATCCTAAAGCGCTGTTTTATCGATAAAACACGAAGTTGGATTTAACCATGAATCTTTTTATTGGCTATGCAAATTGAAAGATCCTTTTCCACAATTAAAGTTCACAATTACTAATAATAACGTTATACTGTGAACGCTATAATTAAAAAAAAAGTTTTTTTTTAAGGCCGATAAAAAAATGTAACTTTTTTTGTCTTTTTACCTGAAATTATAGCGCTCCCGGTTTGTTAATATATATTAATACTTTAATTGTGGTAAAGAATTTATCAATCTGTATAGTCAATCAAAATATAATATGGTAGTTAAACTCATAAGAGAGTGAAAAAATTTTAAAGAATATTTGCGATTAAAAAATTATTTTAAACCAATTTATTGATTTATTCGAACGTCTTTAACTGATTCCTTTTTTCACTTTCTTTATATCTATAGATTCTTTCATCGATTCGTGGAAAATATTTAAATAGAGAATAAAAATTAGGTTAGCGTTAACGCAACTGAATCTTGTTTGAATATTGGCGTTCTGAGATATCTCTTTATTCTAACGTATTCATAAATTGATCTAGTTAGACGTGGTAGACGGACAATGCCATCAGCCTACTCGATTAACAAAGAATGACGTGGAGAATCGGAGCAACGGACTCTATACTATACGCGCGGAAAGCCGTAAAATCATTCGTTTGTAATGATGTTCTTGATGGAAAATGCATGAATTTTCTTGTTGCAGACTTAACGAGGAAGACCGGCCGCGAACGGGAGTTTTTCCCGTTATCTCCGGGACGAGACGAGAAAAAAGAGGAGGAAAAAAATTTCGTCTGTTTGACGCGAAATTTTGTAGGAGGAAATCTCACTACTGCTTACCTGCCACGAGACCGCGATAAATAAATCAGGTAAATTGCTCGGCACACATTGCCTGTATTCTTTCTCTCGCTCTTTCGCTGCCGGAAGCAAAGAAAAAGCACGCGTGATGGACGATTTCGGATTTTGCTCGGTGAGCGGGAAATGACGTCTATTCCGTTAAATGCGTGCGAAATTTGTTCAAGTCTTTTTCGCATGGCGTAACGGATTTGCGGATCTTTTAAGCGGCAGTTATTTGAAAAAAAATTCTCGTAATTATTGAAGATAAATATTAGATTTGAATTAAAAAACAAAATCAAAATTTACATAATATTTAATTTTAAGCGATTTTTGTCTCTATTCTCTAGATGAATGATAAAAGAAATTAATTTTTTTTTATACGTAATTCTTATATAAATAAGAGAAATTTAGTCAGATTTTATAAAAGGAGAAAGCAAATTTTGAATAAAATTCCTTCTTACTTTTCATCTTATGCTAGACGAGCAAAAAAAGAAAATTATATTTTTAAAGTCAATGTAAATATTTAGATACTAATATTATCAATAAAATAGAAAATATGTTAATTAAAGTATAACAAAGAAAAAGAATAAATATTAAATTAAAATTTTTTACAGATTTTTGTTTTTTTCTACTACTACATAATGTTAGAATAAAAATTATTAATTAATTATAAATCGTTATTATATCTGATAATTAATTAGAATTATAATACAGTTAGATTATTGGTTAGACTGGCAATTAACGAAATAATTCGTGAAATAATGTCAATCTGCATTTAGAAAATACCATCATAAAACTTTTGCTTGAAATAAGCGGGTAGATATTGTTGGCTTGTCGCTCTCTACCAATTACAATAGTAACGAATTCAAATTAAAGCTAACGGTATGCAACGATACAGGTATTTAATCAGAATCATGAGACAGACTATCGTTAATTACGTTCGTTACCGAGAAACGTTCCAGAAAGTTTCGCGCTTTTGTTTTCTTCCTTCATTCCTGATTTATCTAAATGCGATCTAATTATACATAGCGGAATCGTGTGGTCGCTAGCGAGTAATTCGTGGATACAATTGCGGAACGCAAGTAAATTACAATTATTTCATCATCATATATAAGTGAATTATATCATAGCAAATACGCGAAACGCTGGAAATGACAGTGTCTCTTCACGAATCTTAAATCTGGTTTTATTGAATTAAGTTCTGCATATAGTAGAGAAAATATAGAAATAGGAATAGGGATTAAATGTACTGCACATGAAAAAGAACAAAATATAAAATATAAATATAGAAATTATGTTACACAGTTATAACAAAAATATATTTATACATATTTAGCTTATAAACTTAAACAATATGGATTTATATATTGCTAATCAAGTACAGTATAAGAAAATCTCAGAGCAACATATTTATTATCATGTTTAGTTTTTCAATTAATGAGAATTTAATTATTTTTTAATTATATTAAAGTAAAAAAGAAACAAATTTTGGAAAAACAAATGTTTACGCGTTTATTATATCAATTTATAAAGAGTCTAGATGATTTTTTAACTTTTATGACAGAACTTAAAAATGATGTACATCTCTTTTTTCGCCAGAGTAACATCAGAAATATATAATAATAACCTTTTAGAAAACTATTTTTTCATTTTTAATTAAAAACAGTTTAAGGAAAGCTTTCACTCCAGAGTTTATTAATGACACTAAGGTATTTATTTAAATTTTTAAAAACTTTATACTATATATATATATATATATATACACAAAAAAAATCGTTTTTGCAAAACAAAGAGAAAAAATAGAAAATATCTTTTAGATATTCAAAATTAAGTAATTTTTTAATATTCTATTTTTTATAAACTAGTATATTTTGTAAAAAATAAAATTATTTATGAATAATAATACAAATAATTTTTTTATAATAAATAATTTTTTCTTTTATATTCAATGCTTATATTGTTTTTTACTATTGTTATATTAATATTTGTATTTTCAATATTATTCATTTTTAACATATAATATCTAGATTTTGTGTTCATGATCGGTCGACATTATCGTATAAATTATATTTAATATTTCATATTCCGTCATTTTTATATAGGTATCTTATTTCTAATTCTCAATACATTGTGCGTTGATCCGTTTCCTTTCTTTGTTTTAAAATAAAATAATTCCCAAGTTCTAATATTTTAATGTATTTATTCCTATTCCTAATATTTTCTTTATTGTGCTCTGTAGAACTTCTTTATTCTTTTTCACTCTGGAAGAACTCAAATATTTAAATTAAATTAAGATTCAAATATTAATAATAAAATTAATAAAAACGGGTTAATTAAGAGCACGGAAGTCGCAAAAGAATTAAAAGCGCAGAAGAATTAAAAGGATGTTGATTTTAATATCTTTTATTCAATGAACGTTTCGATTCTCAGGATTGGACCATTTTTAGCATGAATGAGTCAATTGTGTCTAGTGTTGACTTTCGGCAAATCATCCATCAGTTTTTGCACAATCAGTTATTTTCGGCCGTAAAGGATGTTTTATTGCTTTTCGAATTGCACATATGTTGTGCGCCATTGTTTGTAAAGTCTAGTCAGACGAGATACTTTCGGTCTCAAAGAACAATTTTAACTGACGACTAGAATCTGACCAAAGGTCAATTTTTTGGTCGAAGCTGAACTTTGTTTTTTTTTTGTTATCTTCGATCAAAGCTGAAAGAATTGCATAATGCCTGAAACACACAAATTTAATTTAATATAAATAATAAAATAAATAAATAATTAGGCAAAAAAATAATTTTTTAACTCAGAATAAATAATGCAAGTTTTTTTTGTATTAAACTGTGAAAAATCAATAATCGAAATTGAATAATTAAATATCATTCAGTATCATACCTATATCTTTAAATCAGTTTAATTTTTTTACTCGATTCAAACACAGGGAATTCAGATATTAAAGTACATACTGAACTGATTCCTCAGAAATTGAACAGATAAATATTTGATGAACTCGAATGAAAACTTTTTTCAAAGTTTAAATAAAAAGTAGAAAACTCGCGAATTTCTTCGTTACTTTTACCTATTTGTGAAAAAAGTTCACGAGTTAAAAAAATTCTGTCTTTATATCACACTATAGAGCAAAGATTCAGCTTTAAGAATCCATTCTTAAAATTGCTGTATGATGATTTTGAACGGAGTTATAAACAATTAAAGTGAAAATGGTATTTCCTCTTCAATTTGCGATAACTTGATAAGGAAAGATCGAAATTAAAATTTTAAAAAACAATGCAAGGAAACTTTAGACTTTAATGTGAAAATATCAAAAATTTTTTTAAAAATTACCTTGTGTATGTCTACAAAAAAATTTTCCATTTTGTTATATTCGTCGTTTTTTGTTTGTAAAAAAATTTTAAGAATTGAAGAAGATAAAAAAGCTATGATTTTTCAAAAGTAGAGATTTCTAGCTTTAATAAAGTATCTTTTCATGTACCAAGCTCATCGCTTGTTTTCGGCAATAATGACGTCACGTAATCGATAGAGATATGATTTTATAGTTGGATTTTTTCAACTACAAGCGATATTAACAAGTGTGAAAGACAACTTTGAAATATATGAATCAAATGGATAATAAAAATGTAACATACTTAATCTAAAAAAAATATTTAATTTAATTCAGTGCTTTCTTGCTGTTATACAAAAAATTGTTATATTTTTGACATAACCTATATTAACAGATTTATATTTACATTTTCATTACATATAAAATAATATTATAAAATATTATTATTATTATACATGTTTAATATTTATTATAAAATTTCTTACACTTTCATTATTCATTTGATTCATAAATTTCAAAGTTGCCTTTCACTTGTTAATATTGCTTGTAGTTAAAAAAATTCAATTACAAAATCATGTCGCTAGCGATTACGTGACGTCATTATATCGCCGAAAACGAGCGATGAGCGATACATGAAAAGGTACCTTTAAAATTCTTTTTAAAAATTTAAATTATCATTTTTTAAAACAAAGTTACAATTATTTATTTGCCTATTTTTTTGGACAATTGTTTGATCCCTTGGTTATTTTGAAAAGTGTATATCACTTTCGCATGCGGTAATGTCGACAATGGCCGACGATCGATCTGTCTATCGTCTATCTCAATCGCAGGAGGAATCGCGCACCGATCACTTCAAGCCTCCGGCCGGCCATTTATGGCAGCTCGCGAGGCGCGACTGTCAACCCTGAATCGCGAACGATCGCCTTGCGATTAGAATGCGCAGAATGGACGTCGATTAGAATGCAACCGCACGGACGGACGATCGTTCGTTCTTAACACACTCGTGACACCTACACACGTAAATATGTACGCACGTAACCGTACCTCGATGTGTGTTGTGTAACATGTGCGACGGGGTCGCTGCCCACATGCATTGGATGACACCCACATAAAACGCACAGCTACCGACTTGACTCTCGATGGTCTTCATCATAATTCTTTTCTCTCCGTTCGCGCCGTCGATTACAGACACGGTAAACTTATGCGTGTTGCTCGCTGATAAAATGTTGCATCGACGACAGTAATTTTCAGCGTGGTCGGTGATATTTGAACACATCGCGGAACACGACCTTGCGGCTTGAATAGACGTCGGGAATGCGATAGATCGTAAAAGTTGTCGCTATTTTTTCCTTTACAGTATATGTACAAGTGTCTCGTCGAACGAACGGTGTCGTGAAAAAGTGAATTGACAAACAAGATACGTGCAAAAATCGAACGTTTCTGTAAATTGAATTAACTTATATTGGCATCGAGATATGTGAATGCGACAAATTGCGAGAATCAATTATCTCAATTCAATATATACGTTTTTCTTTATGAAGAGAGATGAATTTTTTTCGTATCATAAGATTTGTTTTGATAAATGTTGCGATGGATTTTTGCACTATAATATTTTTAAAAAAAGACAAAATCTTTTGCTACATAATCAAATAACAGCAGTTGATGTGTCTTTATTTTGTAAATAAAGCTCGATCTTTTATTTAAATAAGTAAAAGTAGATTCTTTTTGGATAATATTAAACCTGCATCAAGTCATAATTCAAATTGTAAGATTAACTAATAAACTTCAATATTTAATACTAATATGACATTTGAATTTTCAGATGAACAAGAATGAGACGTTCTGAATGATTTTTTATCATTCTGGTGACAAGAATAACCAATCGAAATAAACGAAGGAAGATGGTATATCGGGGCAGTTTGCAGACAGACGATCCCAGAGATGCACCGAAACTGGTCCGCATGTCTCCGTTGCGTAGCAGCAGACAAATCAATTCGGCCGGCCCGAATTCGCGAACTGCCGTCACTATTAAGGATCCGACTTGTCATACTTCATACGCGATGCCGATCGATTCCCATCGGGCGCGACTAATTGAGGAGAGGCGATTGGGTCGCGAGCGGGACATTGAGTCGGTCGAAAAGGTGATCATGAGGACCACCGGTATAAAAATTGGAGCGCCTAGATTACGTAACATCAATCAGATTCGCGAAACAGTCTTCGTGGAGCAGTCGCTTACGCCGATGGATCAGATTGGTAAGCCAGATTTGAGAAATCGACCGCGAAGCGTCGCGATTGGTCTCAAAGATGGCAACGTCAGAACACCGAGGACTCACAGTTCCCTTCTGGCGGACCTGAAAGACCTAGAGAGACTGAGAAATACTCCAACAAGGAATCACAAAAGTTTTTCGCAAAGAATGGAAAATTCGGAATCAAAGTTGATCTTGAATAAAAGTACGACGCGCCGACTTCAGCCAAAATTCGATCAGACATCTTTAAGATTCAACAGATGTTCCAGTCTGTAGATCCTTCGTCGAGGACGATTAGGAGCAGCAATGACAGGAAAATAAAAAACGATACAGAGAAAGAGAAGAAGAAACCTGGAACAGAGATGAATAGGACTCGGTTGCTGGCGCAAAAGCTTCTGGAAGCGTCGAGAAGTAATCGGGAGTCGAAGGTAAATCATCAATATAAAAATCCAAAGAACGCGTCCAACAGATCATTGAATAAGGAAACAAACGGAAAAGCATCGAGTAAGGTCCATCAAGAGAGATTTTAGAAAAGGATTCGAAAGATAAGCACATTACGAGCAAGCAGAAAGAGGAAACAAATTGGGACGATCAGCCGCATCCGCCAGCTCGTAGAAGGCGAAACTCCAAGAATCGAGGATGGAAGGATGCAGATCATTACGCAAATGAGCCCGAAGATCGAGGGTTTTGTAATTCTTTCAATCGCGGGAAGGAGTTGTCAAACGGGACAGCGAGTACGGAAGAGAATTGCAAGGCCAGTTCTAATCTGGAAAGACCGGATATTCTAGACGGGCTGCTGAAGGAGTCCGACCAGCAGCTAGCGAACCTGAAAAGCGATCTAGGCGAGAGAGGACGTTCGCGGAGTCATTGGCGAGGATTCGTACAATCCATGAGGCTACACGACGTGGAGCTCCATTCGGACAGCGAGGATCAGCGGAAGGGTGAGTTTGCAAATCTCATATTCTTTGAAAAAAATTCAATTCTGAGGGAGAAGTTACTTCCCTAATAGCACAACATATTCGAAAGACATTCAGAGAATATTCGGAGGACATTGGGACATCCCCAGGATGTTCTTTAAACGTCTTCGGGATATGTGTGCTAGTAAGATTCCAGGACCTCTTAATTTGATAAATGTGTTTGATAGATTCTCAAGTAGCAAATTGATGTCAAAATGATGCATATTTGCTACCTAGGTTTTTACCGAGAAAAAGAATGTCACAACTCTACGATAAGCTACGATCAACAGTTTTTGAAATGTCGATATTTTAATTTTGTTTCAAATTAACTTTCGATTAGCTAACACAGTTAACATCGCCAGAGATGTTTATGGGTTTATTGGTATTATTCTGCAGATCTTACTTGACGAGATGTCTTGTTGTTGAAGAAGGGTTTGGGTTTATCACTTTAATAGCCTGCAGGCAGTACGTTTTATAAACCGGCAGATTCGATTAGTGACGTTTGTCGAGGTGTTTAAAAATTACGGTACAACTGACGTGCCTGTATTTAATCCCTCGGGGAACCGAAGCACCCCTATTTTTAGATGACGCTCCTCGCTCGCACGTTCGCTCACTCACTGTTACTATCGCAGGTCAGAGTAGTGTGTCTCCTATATAGAGTGTGTGTATTTGGAATGTTCTCTCATATCATTTGAGTGTTCTCTCAACATATGTCTCTACATATGGAGTTAAGCCAGACGCGCATCAGAGAGGACCTCTTCTCTAATTCGTAGTGAAAGATATGAGTTGATAATCATCTCGAGCATCCTCAATTGTGTATACATACTGAACTCTCATTTGTATATGCGAATGATGAGTTCCATAAAACTATAAACTTTTTACGAGTGGAAGCATAATTTTGGTTATTTCTTAGTTACATTATTATATCATTTTATCGTAATACAATTAAACAAAATAAGTCTCTAAAAGTTGTTAAATATTAATTTTAAATATTTTATGAGAGATAATGAGTGTTTTGGTGAATACCGTAAGTGTCGGTACATTCTCAACGATTTACGTCTATAATGAAATTTCCTGGTTCTCTCTTTACTTGAAAAAGGTATTCAGCGACAGGCGTATCTTGTACTGCTCTTTATCCTAGGTAAGCATTCTTATCTAAGCTTATCATCTTACATGTAGATTCACTATATCTCCTCGTTTACCCCCACTCGATAACTCAAGAATGTTGAGGCGA